AATGCCATTTTTAATCATAAAGAGTATTCCATTTCTCCTCAAATAAATGCAAAGTTTAAGTGGACATCAATCAAAACTTACATTTTGCATATAAGCAGTCCATCATTCCCTTCTCCAAGTCCAACTACATCAAAAAGGTTTAAACATTTTAGTCCAAAATTGCAAAAGGAATACAAGGGATCACAAAATCAGTCAGCTGCAATCAAAAGATTTAAATGCTATGTGATACTTTCAAAGATTGAGCTCTAATCCTTGATTAGAGTGCCATAAACCAAAAGATTACTGAAATTTGCATCGAAAAGTATCTTAGAATTACAATTGCTTGAAAAGAACAAAATAACAAATTAAACAAAACTCACTTTATTTTGGATGGAGAAATTGATGAAGTTGGTATCGACCAAAACTCGATAAGGAGGTCCCAGAGCAGTATTGTATGTAAAGAACAGAGCAGAAGAAACATAGGGTCTGCAAATCGCAAATCGTAAATCACAAATCAAATGCTGAAAATCATGATACATACAGACACGAACATGTTGATGAATTAAAAACTTACACATTTCTAGGGAGCTTTGTTAAATCCTTTTTGTTAGGGTTCAAAACGTCTTCTTTATGTCTGAAGAAACAGGAGAATCAGAAGATTAACTAACAGTCATGAGATAGAAACGTTAAGAAGCAAAAAACTAAGAGACGCAAGGTGAATGATTACTGTTTAATCTCTTTATGAGAGACCATTTTCTTCATTACAGCGAATTTGGGACCCTTCTTTGCTCTCCCCATCTCTCTGTCTCTCTATACCTGATTCAGGAATGTTATTGAAATACAAACCCTAAAACCCTTGGATATTGATAGAACGGTTCTTCCAGGTGCCGCCTTGAGCTGTAAAAGACGGTTCTACCCTTCCTCATCACCGTGTTTAAAAGTTAAAACGATTTGGATTTTGGTCAAACGGGTCAAAATGTCCCGATACGATTGTTGGATCAAAATGGACATCGGCGGTCCCGGATCTATCTTTGATCGGTTTAGAACGGTCCAATCTATTTTGGATCGGTAAGAGACTTTTTTTTTTTTTTTTTTTTTTTGGGACAGTTCTAGGTTTTTTTTGGGACTCATCTAGGTCTTTGCACTCGTCTTTTTTGGTCCAATTTCGTTGTTTTTTGGGTTTTTTGGTGTGGATTTTGAGTTTTTTCATTAATAAATATGTGTTTAAAGCCAAATGATAGTAAGGTTTATCTTATGATACACAAATATGTGTTTAAAGCCAAAATGGATTTTGTGGGTCTCTTAGGTTCATGATTTTTTTCGAGTATAATCGACCATATCCAACCTGATCTTTAACCTTAATTCGGGTCATACGGGTAGATAGTTTAAGAGTAATTTAAAATAATCGGTTCATTCTTCAACATATTTTTATCAACTTTTTAATTGATAAATGGCTAGTAATAATGATTATAAACAATTACTAGTTAAGATATCATTCTGATTTTTATTAATAAATCATTTTGGATGAAACACTTAAATATATTTTAGACGACAGACTTCTAGATTATGTATTTTTTGTAGCTAACTTCTTTAAGGTTGATCGGAGTGGCACCACCACACACTGCGGTTTGGTGACATGACAGTGCGGTACTACGGTGAACACCACAACGACCGGTGTATGGGTCATTGGGTTGCGATGTCTACTCTGCACGAGACCATTGTTGTGTCTTTTTTCTATTTTTTCTTCATTTAAATTCTTTTAATTCATTATTAAATGATATATATATATATATATATATATATATATATATATATATATATATATATATA